CATCAGTCAAATGGCGGGACGCTACTTTATCAAAATTTTATATTTGAAGAAAGATCTTTTATGTTTGAAGAAGATCTTTTATGTTTGCAAAAACATTAAATATTACTGTCAGACTTTTATCAAGTTGTGAAACAAAATTATTGAATTATAAATTAAAATAAGAAGTAGATTTTTACCTGAGAAATTTTTTTTTTTTTTGCATCGTTGGTATGTTAAATTTCACAGAAACGGAGAAATTAGGTATTTTTTTTAATGAAAGAAAAGTACTTTAAACCCATACAGAGTTTTTACGAAAATTGTTCGCAAAAAAATGATAACTAATATATTTTAGTTCGCGGGCCACAAAAAAAGGCTTCGCGGGGCGGATGTTGCCTCTCACGCCGCCAGTTGGTAACCACTGTTCTAAATCATGTTTAAAATTACAACTGTAAAATTACATTATAATTAAAATGTAATCTTAACAAAATTGAATGGAAGATATAAACTAATTATTTTTTATCAATTCAAACAATTTATTTGAATATTAAAAGCTATAATATTCATAGAGTAATTAGTATATGTCCTTTTTGTAAAGAAACATTTTGACAGATTTGGGAAATAAAGTTACTTTATTTATGTTTTATATTTTGTATATAAATTCTGCAGCAAATGTTACTTGCATACCATTTAACACTAATATCATTTATATAGCGATACATTAAACGTGAAACTGGAAAAACTTTAGCAAAAACGGACATTCATTCTCTAGGATGTAGTGCAATGTTATTAAAAATTTAAGCTATCCTAAATAGATAATAAAGTAATGATTTTAAAAATGAATATAAGTGAATAAAACAGTTTTTTTTTATTTCTGTGGAAAACTTATAGCCTGGTAAAACATTTTTGTTTTGAGATTAAGGCGTCAAACAATTGACAGTGTATTTGACAATTAATACCTCATCTTTTATCCTAATATTAATTTTGAATATGCATTATAAAATCACATTGGGAAACCTTAAGACAAGATTTATGCGATAAAGAAAAATGCCTTGAATAAATAAAAATTGGTTTGAAAGAAATGACCATATTAAAATTTTTTTTTTTTACTGCATTTCAAATTGGAATATAAAGAGGGATTAAAGGATTTAGGAAAGTTTTAATTCATGATAAACTCAATAATTCAAATTTAATGACAAAGTAGTTGTAAGAAGTTATGGAGCAATTTAAAGAATAAGTAGTAAATTTCTTTTCTCACACCAACTATTCTATGAGCGAACTAAATCAATAGCGAACATTAATTAAAAAAATAATACTCTTTCAACCTGATAACAATTATTCAAGATTATTTCCTACTCTGATATGATATTGGCCATAAACAACGACAAACAAATGTATACAAAGCTTCAGGACATTTACAAAATTTAATCAAATGGTAATTAAAGACAGGTCCTTTTGAGGGTTAGAATCGGGTAATATATAATAAACTACAAGAAATTAGGATAAGCAATCGATTAATTGGAACTGTGACTGCAAGTAATCATGATTTAGGATTACAAGTACTATATAATGACAAGAAAAGATTAGAGAAATCAAGATTATAAGCAATAAAATTTCAACAAGTAATTATGATAATCAGCAATCTAACACTAATAATTCTAAAATAAGATTACAGCATAATTACATGTAGCATAATTTAAATTGGAATCGATGGCATTATATTTGGATCTGTAAGTTATTCGTTACTGGTCAATATGATATCTATTTAATATATTTAACACAATCTTATTATTTTGTTTATAAAATGACATTTTCAGTGCGGGAAATGTTTCCATAATGTATAGGGAAATCTATAATAATTGTTACTGTTCAATATGATATCTATTTTATATATTTAACACAATCATATTATTTTGTTTACTAAATGATATTTTTAGTATGGGAAATATTTCTGTAATGTATGGGGAAAACGATATTAATTTGACATGGTTGAAGAAAATGGGTCTAGAAGTATAACAAGTCTAAAAGTGAACCAATAAAATATTAAATCAATGATAAATACATCAATAAATATTGGTAAAAAAATTTTGAGTTTTTTTTTTTTTTTTCAAAATTAAGTATAGTTTTTAAAAGATAATAAATTTATAAAGAAAAAACTTAATTACAAATAATGTTATTATATTATAATTTTAAAGATAAAAATGAAAATCTGACAGAACTTTCAAAGCACACATCGTGAAAAGCCTTGAACATTGAAAATGTTTTTTTCTTCTGTAATTCATTTATTGCAGTCCACACCTTGTTTACCATAAATTACTTATTATGCTTCATTATAAACACATTTTTTTCACGCATGCATCTCTTTGTACCCAAACTAATGCAATTTTAAAATTTTTTAAAATAAAAAAGAATGTTCCAAAAAGCTATTTAAAACTAAGAGATAACTATTTAAAAAATAATTTAATAATTGTTCATTAAATATTAAAATAAAAATTAATACTATAGTTATTCAAAATGAAGTACAGATATTGGATTATATTGATATTGCCAATCAATCATAATGTTACAAAAGTGTGTTGCCTTAAATAAACTATGCTAAAGGGAAATATTTAAGAATCGTTATGTTTTCTATAAAGATACTAGATAACTCATTTTTAGTCTCCACAACGTAAAACTGTTAAGGAAACAGCAGCTCCACCTCTTATACCTATTAATAAATTTAACCCAATGCAAATTAGGTTCTTCAATCCCCTCATCTAGTTTTCATGAAAGGTAGAAGGTTTCGGTATTAATTTTATGACGAATCCATATTGTTCACCTGTTTATGAACTCTCTCATGCAGAACTGAAACCTATATCATCTGCATAAGAAGTAGATGCTCTATTTTTTACCAACCTTAAATTTCACATTATAATAAAAAAAAACATTAAATCATAATTATGGAATATAATTAAAAGACCAGAAAATTTTTATTTATCGAGTTTGATGTTATAAAAGAATTATTCAGAAATCAGTCACGTGAATAAGGCTGTGATCAACACGAATAATGCATTACAATATGTAAACAAAATTAAAACTTGGTTTCTCTAAACATATCAGTTATATTAAGCTAAATTAAACATTTTATGAGCCACAAAAGCTGATTCACCCTGTTTCTCTGAATGGAATAATAAACTAAAGACTTAAAAAAATTTACAATAAAGTTTTCTTCAAAGTAATTTCAAAATTTGGATATCTTTAAAAATAAAATAAAAAATCTTATGAAAGTTGTTAATAATTTTTCTTACGTACAAACATGAATTTTAAAAAAACACTTTTTTTTTTATAAAAAATAAGTTAATCAGAAAGATATGAAGAACAACAAAAAAAATTATTTAAAAAAAATAAAATAAAACTGACGAGTTTTTTTTAAAGAACACAGCCATATTACTTAACAATAATTATAAACAGTATCTTTAAAAGATTATTAATTAAAGAAAATATTTCTAAAATTAACAAAATTAAAAATTTTAATAAGATTTTGATCAATATCTGTTAAAGTAACTGCAAAATTAGATAAAATAATTAAGATAAAGTAACAGATCAGTTATTAAAACAATTCAGTGCTATGTAGTGTTATAGGGAAAATAAATGAGTACTCACTGAACGATATATTCATAAAACTTGATTTGAATATGATAAAAAAAACAATATATAAGGATATATTTAAACTATTTATAACAAGTTAGTATAAAAGCAGAAATTGGCAGGAAAGCAAAGGTGTAGCAAATGAATGTATCACTTTGAGGCATGGAGTTGGTAAAGAGATATTTTATTCTGCAATAGTTGCTGTAACATGATTATTGAAAGTTACTTCTTTGTTGGTATCAACAATAAAATTATCCACTAACTTACCAACAAATAAACAATAGAATGTAGGACTTGTACAGTTTAGTAAAACTAGTACAAAAAAAATTAATAAACTTACTTTATTTCTAATTTTTGTTTGTTTTATGTTTGTTTCTACTAGGTTAAAATTATTATTTTCACCAATAGGACATTTTACGACATAATTGTTGAAGAAGAAATTTTTTAATAAATTTTTTAAATAAATACCAAAGTAAAATACTTGGACATAATCTCGTGAAAGTAGGATTAAAGCAGTATTTTGTTACCAAACATAAATTTTTAACAACTGCTGTGTAAGAAAAAATTAATGGTCCCTAGTTTGATTATCAGGACATTCAAATAACATTGAAATACACATAAAATATATAAATCAACAGTTTAATGGATTTGTAATACAGTTTTGTTTCATGAAAAAATATGTAGACAATTTAAGCAATTTTGTTTTTATGAATTATTTTATTATTTGGCTCACAATTTTTTAGACAAATGTAAGAGAATATCAAACATAATTAATAATTGTAAATATTTTTTATTCTAGTGGAGCAATTATTGTTTCCTTTGATAATACTGCAACTCTAAAAATGCTTATAAATTTAGATTGAATCAATTAAACTTCAGGCAGTTTAGCAAATAGGGAAATTCAGAAAAATATTTCTCCCTTATATACTTTTTTTCTAAAAATACTAGTTCTTTTTTTAAAAACAATTGAAGGAAACTAGTTTTCCAGTTTTGTAAGGCAAAGAAAAATTAAAGTAAAAACTTTACTTTTTATGCACAGGCATGGATGGAGCAGATGGGAACAAGAACTTTTTATGCACATGGGCATAATTGTTATTTATCATTAAGAAATCAGTAGATGAAACAAATATATTGGGAAAACAGAGATAATTGAGACAGGTCAAATCATGTTTCTCTGTTGCAATCTATATATGATTTACTCAGGAAAAATTTGACACCATCAGATCTTGATGTAACACCATCCAGAAGAAATGTTTTTTTATATACATAAGATGTTGAAAACAATCAAATTTTTAGAAAAATTCCTGTTTATAGAAATTTTCTGCATTAAATATAGCAAGCTATTTAAGTAATTTCATTTCACAAGATGATTTCAAACACATTTCTAGATGAGGAAATTTTCTATTTATAACTTATATGGAAATGTAAGCTGGGAATAAAGTAAAAGCATTTTCGGAAAATATAACAAAAAAGACTTACAAAACTGGATCATCAAAACTATTTTCTATATGTGCATTCGCTAAAGCATTCTGTAAAGAAAAATAAATTTTTATGAGACATTCAAATATAATAAAGCATCACAACAAACTATATACCTTTAAGTATAAAAATGAAATTTGAATAGTGAATGAGTTGCTTATGTTCTTGAATACATGAAAAAAAAGAATATGGTGAATGTAAAATTTCATCAACTATCCTGCACATATTAATTACTGCAGTAAGCAAGTATTAACATTTTGATTCAAAAACTACTAAGTATTAGTTACCAATTTTCTGATAATTTTGGCAATAGACATCTATTAATAAAGTTCATTTCAAAAAACAAAACTAGGGTTGCAGTAGGTGAAACATTAAATGTAACAAATTATCAAACAATTTTCTAGTAACAAATTATCAAACATTATCATTAACAGTGATAAAGAATAAGCTGCTGCCTCAATTTAAGTTATAACTGAAGTGTATAGTTTAACTTTCTTAAGTAAACTAATATACTACAGGTGGATTTTTCTAAAATTTAATTTGATTGAAACTTACAAGATAGATCGCCTTTCAGTAAACTTGAATTTTATAGAATAGAAATTCTTTTACCTAAATGCAATGGTCAAACTTTTGCTAAAAATATCTGATATGAAAAAATTAACAATGTTAATGACAATAGTGCTGAGGCTATAATATCAACATGAGTAAAAGCAAAATTTTAGCATATTTAGATAATTATGTAATTAAGATTTTGAAGTTAACATTTTTGTTAAAAATAAAGTTGCACTTTTTTTTTAACATTATTGAAAATATCAATATTTGTAGCGAACCTTCTTAAGTACAATTTTTGACAAATTAGAAATTATAATAAGACATAAGTAGGATATTTACTGCATCTAAAGTAAAACTAAATTACAAGCTTGTAAAGCTTATGTTACTATAATATACATCAAACATTTTTGGGGAATAAGGTAGAAGTTAATAAATCAATATTTTTAGCTTTAGAAAAACAAATCGTAAATGTAGAGGAGAACTAAGTGTAAAAAAGAATCAAAGAAAATCCTAATAGAGTAACAGTTAGTACTTTTAAACTAACATATAGGCTGCGTCCATTTTCTTTATTGTGCCCAATTTTGTAAAAATACATTTAGAGTTGTGTTCATTTTTGAAAGCACACATTTTGAACTGTGTCCATTTTTCAAGCACATATCTTTAGTTGTATCCAGAATAAAAGGTCACCAACAGAATACTTTTCGGAATTATTTTAATAACAAAAATTTATTCTATTGAAAATGTAAGGCAAGAAATAAAAGGAAGTAACAGAAAGGTCACACTAAATAAAGGAGGGAAGAGACTAAATGGTCAAAAGGAAAAAAAAAGCGATAACAAGATAAATAAATTTAAACTTACAAGAGTGGGAATATATTGGAAAAGTCAAAAGTTTATAATAGAATAGTATAGAAGTATTTCTAAACTTATAAGATATATTAAATTCACATACATTTGAATAAATTCATATATTATTTTTGATTGCAAAATTATTACGAGTTTTTATTACAAATTATTATTATTACAAGCCAGAATTTTTTTCTCAATAAAACAAGTATTAATTAATTTTTTTTAAGTTTAGAGCTTCACACATAACGAAATTTTATGCAATAAAATATAAAAAATTTATAGAGCATTTCCTACGAATTTTATTCTATTAAGAACTTCCAGTATAAAATTAATTTCAGTTATGGTTAATACATATCAATACTATAAAAACATAACTATATGATCTTTTTTTAACTTCATAATGTATAAAAAAAACTTAAAAATTATAATTTAGAAACACTATTTTGTCCATTGACACTTTAATTTGTGGTATAAGAGCTTATAAAATCATGGATCATCGTTCAAAGTACTAGAAACGTCTAACTAAACATGTCTGGCAAAAAGTTTCTAATCTTTTAGTTTAACTAATTTTAACTTTATATACTCAGAAACATAGCGTAAAAACAGCTTTTTTGTGGAATATCCCTAAATGCAGTTATAAAACATTCTTTTGATACAAATAACATATTTTACTTTTTCCTTACATTGAAATAAAGTTAATAAACTACGTCACTTAGAAGCATAAAACATTTTTTTCACAAAGATACAATTGAAAAGTAAATTATATTCAATAATGAAAAAATATTTTTAGTTTTTCTACTCCTCTTTATCCAATCTTCCTCAATAGCACACATTATTTTTAACAATTAATGTAGTAAACTATAATAGTACATTAAAAAAAGTTTTATTAAAATTATTTTAAATAATATTTATCTAAATATTGTTTTAGGAACCAAATCAAAATTATAATGAAAGCAAAAGTCTAAAAAAAAATTTTTTTTCTATGTAATTAAAAATAAAAAAGATAAGAAAACTAATTTAAAAATTTAAAATTGAAGAGTTTCTAACATTTAAATTTCTTATAGATTTAACAAAATTTTTTACTTTTGAGATATACATGTTAAAATTCTTAGTTACTTAACATTGTTGTAATAAGATAAATAATTAATACGTGTCTAGATCAAAATAAACATGAACTTGACCTTTATTTTTGTAATTGGAGAGTTTGGATATAGTTTGGTTGTGGACTTGCCATCATCGCTACAGTTTTAATTTACTTGAAATAACATTTGTACTGAAACTTTTATTATTTAAAAGAAAAATAGAAGTAATTAGATAATTAGAAACTCCTTGAAAAAATAACAAGACTCCAAATTTAACAGTAACAAAGTGTTAAAAAAGTAACACAAAATGGTCCCTTTCTCTTTTTATAAATGAGTAAAAATTAAAACAAAACAGTGAACTGGATATCATAGCATTTCAAATTAATACAATCATACTAAACAATGATATACATAAATAAAAGTTGATTGGTAGCCATTTCCTCGTCAGAGGAAAAAAATCGCAATGGCATGTTTTCAAATCATCCTCAAAGATGTTTCTCAAACTGTTGCCAATAGTCTATTGTGCAGCTCTAGTGCAACATAGATAAAGTGCACATAAAAAGGTAAAGCATTCTAGCAATAGGGGGCCCATGGAGGTTACGGCTCCACAATCTTGAGACCAACAGCATAATTGCAAAAATGTGGCCAGCATTGCGAACCTTTACTTCCCAGACAAGCTGATACCCATCAATCTGAAGCTGAAAAGTGCTACTAATACTACAAATGAAATTACAGTTAATTTATATATGCAACATAAAAAACGTTGACCAATCTTTTTATTTTATTTCTATATCTGAATTCTACTTCTTAGTTTATTATTCACAATTAAATGCTTTCTCACGCTAAATATTATTAACATCCTGCTATTTTATTCAATTTTTCGACTTAAGTATAAAAGAATTAACATTTTAAGTCTTCCCTTAAACCCAACTGTGAGAAGAATTCCCTCAACCTATTTAATGCACTAATTATAATTACTAACGGTATCCTTTTTTGCATGTGAGGTAAAAGTTCATCAGGACTAATTTGCAAGATTTTTCCTAGCTTTTGAGAGAGAAGCACTTCGATTTTAGATTATTTGGTTTCTCACTATCTATACAACCATTACTTAATAAAAACTTTTGCTTTGCTTCAGCGTACCTGTTCAATTCTCCTGCCTGGCCATATTGTTCTTTTTGCATATGTGTATATACATTATTATAATTACAATGATGAAAGATAAATATAAATATGGCATATTGCTTACATCTTGAGGATATTGATTTGATGCTCTTCTAAGAGCAGCAGAATGTCTTACACTGAATGATGGAAGAGTGTTATGACGCTGAGCAGATAATGCTCGTAATGGCAAAGCTTTACCAAGTTGTGCTTCTTCTTGAGAAGTTTTTCTTCCTGATAATTTAAAAAATAAAACAATAAATTAAAAAATTTATTTATAACAGTATAAGTATTATTGATTTGCTCTAGAATTTAAGAAGAATATATTATAGTATATAATGGAGGAATTCAGAATAAGGATTTCTCCTTAAATCGAATTAGCAAGCATCCCCCTCAATAAAAATTTTTTTTTTTTACTATTTAGTAAATGGAAATAACAATCAACTATTGCAAGGAAGACAAATATACGATTATCACTATACTTTTTATCACAATGGATGGCAAATTTTTACCGTAAAAATAATAAACCAACAATTGTTAAAAACCTCATAAAAGCAGCATTCTACTGGCTCATATATATGTATGCAAAAATTTAGGCTGTTCTTAATGTATTATACAAAGAAATGAAACATATAATTTTCATTTACCAGAAAATGTATTTATAACAGTATAAGTATTATTGATTTGTTCTAGAATTTAAGCAGAATATATTATAGTACATAATAGAGGAATTCAGAATAAGGATTTCTCCTTAAATCGAATTAGCAAGCATCCCCCTGAATTAAAAAAAATTTTTTTTTTACTATTCAGTAAATGGAAATAACAATCGACTATTGCAAGGAAGACAAATATACGATTATCACTATACTTTTTATCACAATGGATGGCAAATTTTTACCGTAAAAATTACAAGTCAACAATTGTTAAAATCCTCATAAAAGCAGCATTCGACTGGCTCATATATATATGCATGCAAAAATTTAGGCTGTTCTTAATGTATTATACAAAGAAATGAAACATATAATTTTCATTTACCAGAAAATCTAGCTAAGACAGGAATTTTACTGTTCACTATCATAGGCTTCATTTTGGTGCTATCTTTATTTAATTTAACTTCTGATGTCGAGGAATCTCCAGTACAAAATGAAGCTGTAGAAAGAAAATATAAGAAACATTTTAGAGCATTATCATTACAATTTTATATTGTCAATTGCACACAATTTCATAACTGTACATAATTTCAGTTGAATTAAATACCTAATCAGGATAAATATTAAGTTTTTCAAACATAAAAATTCAAATTATGACTATATGAGACTCTAAAAAATTAATTACAGAAAGAGATACTAATGAAAATATAAAAATTATTTTAGAATATAATCATTAAAATTAACTGCACACAATATTGAATTAAAAAAAAAACAAGCAGCATAAATACAGTAGGAAACCGATTATCCGGAACAATCGGGACCATCGCTATTCCGGATAACTGATTTTTCCGGTTTTCTGAATCACAACAAAAAGTCGTTTTTTTTTATTGTTAAACCCAACTAAAAAAAAATATTTGGAAATAATCTTGAAAAAACGAAGTAATACACTAATGATTATTTCCAAAATGATGCTAGGGTAAACATCTTTCAAAAAAGAAAGAAAAATCCTAATATCTTATGAGGAAAAAAAAAAAAATTTTTTTTTTTTAAATAGCGGGAAAATTTATAAAACTTCGTTTCGGTTTTTTGGTTTTCCGGTTTTCTGATTTCCGGATAACGGGTTCTGTACTGTATAATTTTTTTTAAACATACAAAATCAAATTTTGAATGCATGTTATTAAAACAAATTCATTTATAATGTATTTTTCTTTGAGTAAAACATTTTCAAAGAAGTTTTAAAAAAATGAAAGAGAAGGTTTCAAAAAAATTTTAATGGAACTAAGCTTGAGGAACTAAAATAAAATGTATCAATTGACTGATTGCAAATTATAAAGCAACAGACTGGTCAATATGCTATACACATGAAATTTACTTCAACCTGATAACTAATCCCCCCTCCTCTGTTTTTTCAAGTATTTAAAATTAAAAATAATAATTAGCAAAATTTTAGATTAAAACAATCATAATAGATTAAAAATAAAAGTTTAATTACAAAAAAGAAAGCAGTAATTACAGTTAATTTGAAATGTTAAGTTAGTAAACTAATTGATAATTCATAGTGAAATAAACAAATGCATTGAAAATGAAAATTATTTAATGATATAATCACTTGACGAAATGTTATAGTAATGTTAATATGCAACGTTATTAATTCATCCATTTGACTGAAATTAATTTTCTGATCTTTTATTTAAAAAGTTCCATCTGAGTTATATATAAATATAGGTGTTTAAATAATAAAGCTATTTATTTTTTAAAAAAATTACATAAATATAAGTTTATATACACAGTAGAAAGTATTATATCAAGAGTCCTCAAGACCTCTTCTTCAAGTCTGGAAAATTTATTATTCCAGAAAATCGAAACTTAAGGAAACTAATCGAAACAAACATCATAACAAACATTAATCAATTAAACTAATTAACATCAATTTCTTACAACATTTTACTATAGGTTAAAATAAATAAAAATGAAAAGAACACAAGAACTTTCTGTTTCATGAATAAAGGCATGTTTTTCATTTGCTCTTTTTTCTTCCATTTGATGTAAAGAATTAGCTAGGCAGAAAATCAGATAAAAATCTTCTTTTTTAATAACACATATCATAACACATTTTAAACAAAATTAAAAACATGAAGTTAAGTAGAATCTTACAATTATCATTGTTTGATGCAACAATAGGTTTTACTTTGTCCTCTTTTATTTCAATTTTAAGCCTTTCATTTTGCTGTTTTACCAGTTCATTTTCAGTATGCTAAAAAAGAACGGAGAATTGTTAGCATTGGAAAATATTCAGTGTGAATGTTCTTACACAAAGCATTTGGGTTAAATTCAGTAAAAATTTTACATTAAATATTTTAATTTACCTTCATTTATCAAGTAAATAATTGTGGAAGAGAATGAACTCAAACAGTTTTAAAATTACAGTCAAACTAAAAGCTTTATTTAACAAATATTAATTACAATTATCATTACTAAAATAGTATGCAATGTAATATATATATATATATGCTATTAATTTATAGTTATTTTTATAATTTCTTACTGAAAATGTAAAAATCATAAAAATAAATGCATCTTGGTTCAAAAAGTCTCTGTTAAGCATGCCACTGATTCATATTGAACATACTGATTCCTTCTTTGGGTAAAAACTTCATCGGCTTCAAAAAGGTTTTGAGCAAATTTTAAAAAAAACACTTCATTAGCTTAAAAAAGGTAATGGTATCCAAACAGGGAACATTGGCCCTTTAGAACTAAACTGCATCACCGTAGTCAATGATGCATAAATCAACTGCAACACACATTCCATTATTTTTCAATTCCTTCAATATTTGATTTAATGCTTGCTCCTGATAATAGAGATAAACACAATGATTGTGAGTAAAAATTATCAGAGGATGTATCCACAACTGATCAAGAGTGCCAAAGCATAACAACTCTGAAAAAAAATATTTATTTGCAAATTTACAAATAATAGTAAAAAATTGAGAAGGATATTGTAGAAACTGTATCTAATAACAAGTAAAGGTTACAAATTTTTTATAAAAGTCATCTCGTAAGTACAGTTTTTGAAAAACATGCTTACATTTTTTCCCCGATTTTATGTTTTCTCGCTTCATCCAGTTTTTAATGCCAATCTGATGAAAAACGTAAAATTGGGGTCCTGCTATACTTGTAAATGTAAATTATGAAATACCCAAAGGAAGAAAATATCTTTTCTACAATAGTCAAAATTCATTTAAAACTGCAAAACAACCAATGTACTTATGAAATATAATGAATTAAATTTATAAAATTTATATTTTGGTTTGGGTATTAATTGTAATATTTAATTGTAATTTTAAAACAAATAAAAGAACATACTACTGCATTACAAGAGAATTTCAATGGAGCTTAACAGCTAATATAGCAAGGACAATGCTTTTTGACAAGCCAGTAGAAGTGACAGATCTACTATTTGAATAGCTTATTTTCTTATATTTGAATTCATTATCATAAAACAATTTGATAAATCAACATTTCATAATTTGCTTTATGTATATTGTAAATTATGGTATTAATTTTAATTACAAAGCTGATTCTTTAAAGATATTTATTATTATCGATTTATAAATTTAATTAAAAAATTCTACGAATAAACATAATTAATAAACTGAATATATAATTAGCATATATTATCACCTCATGTTTAACTAAACAGTGATTCTAACTATTAATTAGTTCATTTTGTTATAATTCTTTTCATTTAACAAACTAAATTTGCCAATTCAAACACAGAATCATGGCTGTACTGCACACCTTATAAATTTTGGATAGGAACATAAACTCTGTAACCCCATAATTTATGTTTAGTCATAGAGGACAACAACATGGATATTTTTTACTCTAAAAAAACCCTTGAAATTGGCCCCTATGACTTCATATAAATAGCTAAGTAAGTATAATCCTCTATTTCCAAAAACAGTTAATGCTTTAGCTGGAAATACATTTTGATTAATACATTTTGAAAGTAAAAGTATTCTGAAAGGAAACTTTTAAGTATCAATCTGATCAAGCAAGAAAAAAATTTTAGGTTTAAGGTTTAAAATAAATTTTAAGATTTCAGTTGTTTAACTTATTATCTATCACTATTGATAAGAATAGTACTACACATATCAATTTGAGATTAAATGACTAAAAAACCATTAATTTAAAACTATAATTAACCTGAATAACTGTAGATGAAGAAGGTGCATCATATGGTGTATTTTTAACCCAGTTGCTATCTCGCTTAAAAATATTAATCAATTCTTCATTTCTGGGTTCTTTGACATCAACTACTTTGCAAGTGGATGAATCTCCATTCTGATCAAGGTCTGTTACACAAATATCTTTACTTCTGGATGGAGGAGTGGAAGAACTGGAGGAGCTAGATGCTGCCATAATCCATTCAATATCAGGACCCCAAGGGGAAACATTTCTACTTTGAGAACCAGCAGAAGCTGGAAGAATTATAGCATATGAAACAGCACCATCTTCAGTACATCTTGGAAGAATTCTTCTGGCCAAACGAGCTTGCACAGCCGTCAAGAGTCCTTCAGAGTCAGAATTAATCTCTACAAAATCAACAGCAGATACTAAAGGAACTAGGCGTGCTGGTCCCATAGCCTGTGCAAATGCTGCAAAACATTCTAAAGCAGCGAGTCTGACACGTCTTTTTGTGTCAGTAAGAAGTGGAGCAACAGACTCACAAAGAGGAAGAAATTCAAAATTATAACTGGGAAATGTTAAGACTGCAGCAGTAACTCTGTTCACAATTTCTTCTCTGAGACGAGGATTGCGATTGTCTTTATTTTGCAACAAATGACTAAGAACTTCTGTAGGTTTGATATGATGCATTAATCTGTGAATAACTCTAATTGCATGCTCACGAACAACAAGTTTTGCATCTCCCAATCTTTTCAACACAGATGTAACAAATGTTTTGAGAAATCGTCGTATTTGATTTTTAAACTTGTCAATCAATAAATCATATACACTTAAAGTCTGAATGACAATTTTGAAGTTAGAATCTTCTAGTAGTTTTGATAAAAACATCATATACTCATCCATATCAGATATTTTTTCTGAAAAATCTGGCACTTCGCGAATTATCATTTTCATGTGCTCGAGAGCCTCGACTCTTGTTTTCCAATCATCACTCTTAATTTTTTCAGTAATGTAAGGCTGAAAAATACCAAAATCATATTTTAATAGTTTATTTCCAGCTCCACAAACTCCATTTATGTTGGAAAAACTTGAATGACTACCCGAGCCACTACTTAAACGAGAACCATTTAGTGAAAACTTGTTTAAGACTCTTATGTAAGTATTGGCTGCTTCTTCATCTAAATTTTGAAGATATCTATCAAAAGTCGCTGATCCATGCAGTTCATGAATTTTTTGCATAGCTAAAAATATTGGATAAAACAATGAGGCATCCCCATCAACAAAATGTCTGGAAAGGCACTCTATTAGAGGAAATAAATTTTCATTTTCAAATCCAGTCGAGAACAAAATTCCGATGCTCATAATACAACCTTTTCTAATAATGTATTCAGAATTTTCTAATCCATAATAGATAAATACTTTCTGAAAATCTTGCAAATTGTTTGTGTATTTCATATAAATGTGCAGTGATTGAAGAGAAGAGCGTCGCACATTAACATTATCATGACCAAGATTCGATATGATTTTGGGTAAAAGCTGTGACATACATGAGTCAAGATCATCATTTATATGTGGAATAATACCGCAAATTAATAATAGACATTGGTAACGAACTTCCCATCGAGTATCGTCTAACACATGAAAAAGAACACTAAATATCGATTCAGAAGATGCATTATGAAAGGGTAGGTATCCATTTCCACTCTTTAGAAGTTTTCTCATGACAATTAGAAGTTCCACTCGTTTTGAGGCATTGTGATCCAATAGATTTTCGAACATTAAATTGGTATCCATATTAGAATTAAAGAGTCCGCGGTGGACAACATCAATCGGAGAATCCTTAACCATCAGTTCATCGAAATATGATTTTTTCTAGTAACCACGAGAGGAGATAATCAGAATAATCATGATTTCTACGAATAGAAATATGGGTTATGCCGGTGACATACATAATATTTACATCGAAAAGGTCATGTAACACCAAAACAAAGAAAAACTATCATGGAAAATAAACGATGATTATTAAAATCGTGTATTGAAAAATTAATATATCACTTTTCTTTTAAATTTCGGGTAACAATAACACAATAAGCCATTGAGCCACCACTCATTTTTTGATTGCAGACAGTCGCAATAAAAGGTTTCGTTTCCATTTTGATACAAGTAGCAAATGATTAAAAACAAGTATATCGATTAATAATCGCTACATAGTGTAGCTCGTAGCTATTTATGAAAATAATTGAAGAATAGTAAAAAGTGAAAAATTACTCAAAAATGGATTACTAGGCTGTAATTAGTAATAAATATGCATGCTTTGATTTAAAAATTCAAAATGAAATATTATTGTCCCCAAATGTGAAATAAATAAAATTGTTTTTAAAGTGAAATGAAATCAAAAAGTTGTTTCGGTTTCCTTGGTGCTCTTCCTCGATAGGAAAACAGTCATTCCTTCATTAAGTTTTCGTTCGCAAAAACTTCAATAATAATGTTAAGACGATTATAAATTATCAACAGAAGTTCAAAATATTAAACTTTCTGTGTTACATTATCGAAACTGAATTTTTGAGTGAACCCTTTTCTGTTGATAATCACTTTTTCTCTTTCCTATTTCTTGTTAATTTCATCAGATGCAGCAAACTGTCAAAATTAATCAGTACTCATAATTGGATTCGCATTACGTTTCAGGGAATATTAAAAAAAAAAACTAATTAATGAAAAAGTAATTCAGCCTTTTAATTTCTTTTTTCATAGATGTAAAATGACTTCTCCGGTAAAAAACAACGTGGATAAAGAAGTTACAAATGCTAATGGTGAAGAATCTCAAAACAATGAAGATTTTGTTGATCCATGGAATGTAGTTAGTTCATCTGCTACTGGTGTGGATTATGATAAATTAATCCGTAAGTTTTATATAATTTTTTTTCCTTATCATGTTAATTTCTGAATATATTAAAACAAAAAAAAATTAAATGTACTCTTTTATTTAGGCCGCTTTGGCTGTTTGAAAATTGATGAAGCTCTGATTAAAGAATTCGAGCGTGTTACACAAAAGCCCGTCCATCATTTTTTACGAAGGGGAATTTTCTTTTCCCATAGGTAAAGGATTTTTTGAAACTGCTCAAAAGTATGGCTGTATGTTATACAGTATATCTTTTTTAAGCATTTATTAGATGAGATAGTTTAAGCAATTTCATTAAAACTTTTCCCTTTTTACTGATTTTTTATATTCTCAAAACTTAGTTAGCAGATATATTGTTAATTGATTAGCTACATAAAAATGTAACTATCTTGAAAAGAGGAATCTCATCTCATAAATTATTGATGATGGAAACTTTTCTGAGTTGTTAATGTTCATGATTGAAAAGTTACAAAAGTTAATTTTGTTCAAACCAGAAACTCTGCAGTATAAAAGCAGGTATTGCAGATTACCTCATCTTTTGATAGCATATTTTTTGTTTCATTAAAGAAAATAATAAAGAAAATACACAAAAAAGACAAAAAAATGAGGAGAGAAATAAATGAGAAAGTTAAAATCAAAGGGGAATTTATATATATATATAGAAGGAATGATTTTCCTATTTCGAAATTTGACATCTAAAAAGATTGACAAATTATCCGTTTCGCAGATATATACCAATCCAATTATTGTTTCTTCTTAAACATTATTTACACTGAAAAAAAGGAAATAGAAACTATAAATTTTTTTTATCCTTAAACTTATGCAATAACTATTTGTGTTTCCCCCTTTTATGAAACTTTTTATTGAATAAGCAAAAACATTTTTAGTCAATACATTTTAAATAATTATACAAAATGATTTTAATCTAAATGTTAAAAGTTTAATGCTTAACTTTTATTAAGCAATTTTAGTCTAAAAAATTTCTTTGAGTTTAAAAGGAAAAAGAAAGCATTGTTGTTGAATAGAAGTATTTTTATACAATTATATTTTAATTAGAATTGTTTCTTTCTCAAGTAAGAAACAATGATTTCTGATTAAACACCCAGTAATAACTTGCTTAATAAATTGCTATAAATAAATTTTTAATTTCTTTAGTTAGAAACATGTCGTCCTGCAGTGGACTGAACATTAAGAAACGGTTCCCAGCAGATCACCGATGTCAAGCATCACTGGTTGCAGTCAGTAAGCGGGTGGGTGGCCACTTAGATCAGTCTGCATAGGGACCGAGGGTGTGCGGTATTGGTCCTCGTTAAACTGTTCTACCGCAAAGTGCTCGACTTCGCGTGCAGGTCGTCGGGATACCGAAGCGGGGGTGCCATCCCATCTGCTGAGGATCAAAATTGCTATGGCATATCTTCGGATCATCCTCAGGGATGTTTCCCAGACCGTCGCCAATAGCCCTTTGTGCAGCTCTAGTGCGCCGTAAATGAACAAATCAAATTAGAAGCATGTCTCTCTAATTTTAAAAATAAACTGTTACTTTCAAATTGAAAGTTGTTAATTTGCTAGGGAATAAAATTACTTTTCCATTTCAAGAGAGCAAGTAAATTTGATTATTTCATTATTTTTTTTCATTTATTTTGTATCTTTAAAAAAAAACTGTCATAAAATAAAATAAAATTTTATCGAGAAAGAAAAACAATGTGAATTTGCTGCGTTTACATGGGCTTGAACATACTGAATTGTGTGCGCTTGGTGACTGCATTGGCCACCTTGTCACCTGCAACAGTTTAATGGGAAAAATACCAAAATATTATGAATTGTTACATCATTCAAGATGGGCATATGATTATGTGAGACTCTCAAAAACTATTTAATAAAAATTATCATAACTTTTCTTAATTAATATTAAAAAGTTATATAATCAATATTGTTTGAACCAAAAACTACAGTGCTGAAGGAAGCTAATATTGCAGATTACCACAATATCTGATAGCATATTTTTTTTATCTCAGTTTAAAAACACACTCACATAAAACCTAAAATTTGATAGAGTAATAAATGAAAAAGTAAAAAACAAGTGAGAAAGATTTTTTTTTTCTTGGAAAGAAAATTTATCCCAATTTTGAATTTTGATGCAAAAAAAAGATAGACAAACTAATCCATTTCACAGAACTATTATTAACACAAAAAAATATGGAGAAAACATGGTAATCAAAAAATAATTCTTGTTATTTTGTATTAAATATTATTATTATGCATAAAAAAATCTTTTAACATTCTTAAAAATTTGTTTTCTTTTTACACTCAGAGTTTATTTTTTAATAATTTTGATTTCCCAACATGTTGTCTAACTTCTTATAGTTTAATTTTTTTATTTTTAAATTCTCTAGCCCTTCAAGTAAAATTGGTTTATTCCATTTCAATCTATTATCGCGTCAGTACTTTTCTTGTTATTTTACTTATAATTTTCAATACTATTATTGCGTGTAACAAGTAATATATTTCTGTAACCTTATCAAATTTGAAGGTTAATCTATAGATACTATCATTACATATAATTAATTCAGTTTATTTCTTATTATTTAATTATTATTAAAACTATAACTGTATTTGTAGTTCTCAAATTCTTTTTATCAATTAAATGTTCTTTCTTTTAAATATAGAGATGTAAATGAAATTTTGAAACGGCGTGAACAGAATAAATCATTTTTCCTTTATACTGGCCGTGGACCTTCCTCTTCTGCACTTCATTTAGGACACTTGATCCCTTTTTTATTTACTAAGTAAGTTATATGCTTTTTAATTCTTAATTATTACAAATTCAAATAAATATACTCCTTAATATTAATGAATATGTTTATAGCTGGGTATTTTTTCCCTAATTGAACTAAATGTTATGCATAAAAAAAATCTTGTTCTAATATAGATGGCCGTAACTTGCGGCATAGCAACTCTGGATTAGGCATGTAAGGAATAGTGATTTTGCCGAGTATTGAATATTTTACTAAAGAAATTGGCTAAATATTCTTAATTGTAAATAAAATGGCCAAAAACAGAATATTTGTGGGTCGAATAGAAGCATTTAAAAAAATTGTTAATAAATGTTATTTTTTACATAGAAATAAGTTTCGTCATTATTGAAAAATAATCAAAACTTAGCTATATTGGTATGTGTTAAAGGAAAAAAACTAGATATTAAGATATAACTTGACATAATTAGATGTTAAGATAATTAGAAGTATTTAAGATAAAAATAACTGACTAACAGCTATTTCAAAATAAAAATAAAAACCTTAAGTTGTAATGGTGAAAAATAAGAAATAGGAAAAATATCCTAATTTTTAAAACAAAACTAAAATTATATTTTCTGGAAATAAAATTATCTATGAAGCAATGAAAGAGGTAATTTCTACCAGAAGCTCTTTTAAAAATGCTGTGCCATCATAAAAACACCTATGAAAATCAAAGATTATATACAAAAGCAATAGAAAAAGAAAATAATAATTGATCTTAATTTTTGAAAGAAAGTTTTAAAAATAAACATTTCTGTTTTCAATCACTGTATTTTCAAGCAAAAGTGAAGATTAAAGTCCAACAAGAACTATCCTAATTTCCATGTCATAATTATTTGTTATTTTTAGAAATAAATGACCATAAAAAAATAATGTTCGTTAGAAACGCTCTTTAAAAAATGCTGCCATAATTAAATTGCTGATAAAAAAGAAAAATTAATAAAAAATCAAAAGAGAAACAAAAAAAAATTGTTCTTAGTTCTGAAATATAACTTAAGCATAATAAGCATTAATAATCACAGTTTATATTACAAGTTATCTGTCTTACGGTACAAGGAAAAGTGTCAATAAAATAATAATGTTCATTAAAACCACACCTTTTACACGATTCACAAAAAATAAGCAAAAATAAAAGGAAAAAAAGTTTATAATTTTTTAAACATAATGTGTTGAAGAAACGAGGGAATTGACTCGCCTGAATATAATTAAAGAAAAGAAAAATCAGTATTACAAAACTCATGGTTTAGTATAAAGTAATCTAATTTTAATTCTTCAAATTTCGTTTTTCTATGTGTCTTTCAAAACATAAATTAAGAAGTTTTAGTACTTAACAAATATGTGTAAACACTATTTCTAATAATGTATAAGAAAAATATAAGATTTTAGAAAATTCATTATGAAATATATTAAAATTATCTGGTTAACATTGCCTTGGAATCGTCTTGATGTATATCATAAGTAAAATTGTGCATAGATTTTTTTATTATATACAAGATTTTCTCTGCATCAGATAAAAAATAATTTATTTTTAAGAGATCTAAAGATCAATTAGTTTATTTTTTCAATTTATTCATTAATAAAAATAAAAACGTTCCTTAAACTCACAACACTTTTGAAAATGTAAGTGTGAGCTGAGAATAAAATTCACTAATATTTTGCATCGTTTACAGTTTTTTATTTTATTTATTTATTATTTTTTTTAAAATTCAATTGGAATGGTTCAAAAATTTAATTTGTTTTTCATCTAAAATGTGTTTAGTCTCTAAATTGTATTATTAATATTTTATGTATAAACATAATACCACAAGATTTGTGCCAAAAAATTAACATTCACGCATACTTTCATACCATTAATCAAGCTTTATTTTAATTTAAGGTGGTTGCAAGAAACATTTGATGTACCTTTAGTTATTCAGTTAACAGATGATGAAAAGTTTTTATGGAAAGATTTGTCTATTGAAGAAGCTCAAAAGCTAGCCTTTGAGAATGCTAAGGATATCATAGCATGTGGATTTGATGTTGAGAAGACATTTATTTTTTCAGATTTACAATTTATGGGGTAAACTAGCTTTCAATAATTTTCTTGTGTAAATTTATGTATATATGCACGTATATCTATGGAGGTAGCCTGTGCACAGCACTATATATGTATATAAATGAAATAAAAAATAAGTCTAGTTCAATTGCAAAAAAGATTTTTAAAAAAAGAACAGACAAAGAAGACTAATTGCCATCAGATTGTCTTCGTATTTAAACAGACGCACACAAATGTATGTACCTATGTACTAATAAGTTTTATTTACTGCGTATAAGCTGCAAGTATATAGAACACATTAAATAATCATAAATAAATATATATATATTTGTTAACAGAATTCTTACAGGAAAACTTCTTGTTGTGATCAATTTCTTTTTGCAGATATTACTTCATGGTGCATAGCGTTTTTAAAAAGTGCTTAAAGGTGCTTATTTACGATTTTCTCCACGTATTTTGCAAAAGCGTGCTTTCTGCATTGTTCTATTAAACTTTTTCACAATCCATTTCGGCGTGTTGTTGGTCTGTAATGTTGGAAAGCGCAAATCATTTTATATGTTTGATGAAATACTTGGGAGTCCGCACGTGCTTCTACTGAGCTGAGTTCGTTGAGATTTTAGCACTCTCATGTGCAACTCAGCTGCATTTTGCAAGATATTCTCAGTTTCAGATGTCATTTTCCACCGTCTGATATCGAATCTAAAAACCTCTTCATCTTTTTATAATGGCTAAAATAATCAAGAAAAGAGTTCTTTGTCAGAAACTGGTTATTTTATCATAATCATGTAAAGTCTTTGAAAATTATTTTGCATTTTGTTAATGTATTATAGTGCTGAAAAATATTTTTTAGAGCTTAAAAGTACTTAATAAGGTGCTTATTTTTTGTTGAAAGATTTGGCTACTCACCCTGTACTTAGCAGTTATCTGTTATACAATGCATTTTGTGCAAATTCGCCCTTACTGCTCTCCATTGCTTTCTACCCTCTATTGCTTTAGATTTGTTATGTTATTAGTTATCAAAACTAGCCATTTTTTCGAAAAGATGTTCAACCAGATGTTATTATGCAAGTAGATCACGTAACAACTAATTGTCTGTTTTATGAACTTTATGTTTTCATTTCCTGTCCTCTTCTAAAAAAAATCATTTTATTTTTATTTTTTGAAATTTCACACATTTAAATTAAATAGTAAAGATTAAAATAGTAAAGTACAAAAAAGAAATCAGAGCAACTCAATAAAGTTGCTGTTTTTTCTAATAGTAAAAAAAAACAAAAAAAAACAGTATTTTAATAAAATGGAATTCGACTTTTCTGTGAAAATTCTTACATTCTTGAAACTTCTGACAAAAGTTCTTCTGTAAAAAAACTTATTTTACTTTAAAATTAAAGACCTAATTTTGAAATTTAAGGAATTAAGCATTAATACCAAGATTTGATTATAGATTTATGACAATTAAGAGGTGAAATTTCTCTTCTTTAATTTCTAGACAATGTCCAGAATTCTATCAGAATGTTGTTAGAGTTCAAAGATGTGTGACTTTTAATCAAGTTAGAGGAATATTTGGATTTGGAGATAGTGATTGCATTGGTAAAATTGCTTTCCCTGCTGTTCAAGCTGCTCCCTCTTTCAGTTCATCATTTCCACTGATATTTGGAGAAAAAAAAGATATTCCATGTCTTATTCCATGTGCAATTGATCAAGTATGAATTTTTTATAGTTAATAAATTAATTTTATTACTACCATTCTTATTATTTTAATGAATATCAAAATACCAGTTTTGATACAATTTTTTTCATAAATATTTTGCAGTAAAGCAATTGTATAAAAAAAAAAATTTGTTCTAATTTATTCCTGTGTATTTATTATCGACTGATCTTTTGAAATTATTTTGGTCTCAAAGTACAGAAACTACAATTCAAGTTGTGTGATGAATTAAACATTCCAATGAATTTTTGACCTAGAGTTTGGATTTTCACATCCCAGGACTCAATCTTAATGGTTTAAAAGCCCAACCTTAAATATTCTAATTACTTAGTGCACAAGATATTTTAAGTTATGAAATTAGGCACAGATTTGGATTTTTGACCCTTAAAATATCAGGTGTTGCCATCTGGAAAGTATAATCTTAATAGTTCAGGCAGAAAAGCAATCAAAAGCGTTGGACCCTTAATTTTACTTCATATTTTTAAAATCTTATTTCTTAAGAACTATTTTAGAAAACTGATTCCCATCAAATTTTAAATTTTTTTATTTTACTTTCTGTTGGTTTAAAAACTTGTTGTAAATTGGTTAAAAAAAACTTGTATGCCTTACTATTCAAATTTTTTTCAACCAATAATAAATGAAATAATTATGAAAAAATTCTTTTTTACGTGAAATTGTCTTTGAATAAGCAAGTTTCATAATTATCCAAAAAATTATCGAACACATTTATTAGTTATGGTGAAAAAGTGAAGTTAGCATCATTAAGGGAAGTGGTCTGGGTAGCGGAGGACATATCTATCCTTGGATGGCTACCTTAGAGGACTGCTAAATTAATGGAAAATTATTCAGGATAAAATGCTTCTCTCTTTTAAACAGCCCTGATTTAATTTGCTAATTGCAGACCTATAACTTCTTTATATTTATAAAATATTACCTTCAAATTTAAATCCTAGTATGTGATAATCTGTTCTGTATATCAAATGATATTCAGTGTGTTTGCTTTTTTCTCCCACACTTAATTTGGGAAAACAAGCTTTTGTTATTCTATTGCTTAAATAAAATGTCTGTTATAGAAAAAAAAATTAAATTTCATCCTATTTCTCAGGGTTTTTTTTTTTTTGTAAAAAAAAGCTTTTTTCAATATATTTTTAATAATTAATTTCAATTTAATTTCAATAATCAAGCTTTGAAATGTGCATGGTTTCTCTGTTTGAATTTCAGTTATGAAGTTAATAGAAGGTTTGAAGATTTTGATAAAAGTCTCTAAGTCATTTAAATTCACCTTAATTCATTTTTATTTTGAAAATTCTGAACCAAATTTATTTTTTTCAAAATGTACTATATTTGCATATTATAATCAATTTACAAAATAATTAAAACTGTAACTTTCTCTAGGACCCTTATTTTCGAATGACAAGAGACGTTGCTCCTAGGTTAGGACTTCCAAAACCTGCACTTATGCACTCCGAATTTTTTCCAGCACTACAAGGTGCTCAGACTAAAATGAGTGCAAGCGATCCCAATAGCTCTATATTCCTGACAGATACTCCTAATCAAATTAAAAATAAAGTAAGTAGTGAATTTTCTAGCTATGTGTTTTATAAATCATTTAAGATTCATCACCGTGCATATAGAAGAACTTTTTTTACTAAATTCTTAATTGATGTTTTGTTATAAAATTTTCAACAATATTTTTAAAAATTTTCTCAAGATTCAAATTTGTTGAATTCTCTTAAAAAAATATTAGATTTTATTGTTTTTATTTGTACAAACTTATGTAATAAAAATTAAATTGTAATTTTTATCCATAAATGTGAAAAGAATTGCCTTTTCTTTATTTCTGTAAAAGAAGGAAAAAACATTTTTCATTAAAAAGTTTGAAAATTTAATACATGTATTAAATTCTAATGCTCAAAGGTCAACTTTTAGAAAAGCTTTTTTTTTTATTAATTTTTTGATTTACACTCAATATATTACTAGAGGTTAGTGTAAATTTTCTTCTATGATCTATTATTATTTAGGCAGTCAGAATTTCTTTTATTCAAGTTGTACTAATTTTCATTTTACGATTTTGATTTTATGAAAGGTAAAATATTTAAAGTTTGTTTGATTTGATTTAGATAATTTACATACTTAAGAATAAATATTTTTCAAATAAATTAACTATGAAATTAATTATAGGAATGAATTCTGACACGTTTTTTGCATAAACTCTGTTAGGAAAGTTTGTTTTAAATATTAACTATGGAAGTATATTGTTTTAGATAAACAAATATGCTTTTTCTGGTGGTGGTGCTACAACTCAAGAACATCAGGAAAAGGGAGGAAATTGTGATGTTGATATATCTTATCAATACTTACGTTTCTTTTTGGAAGATGATGTCAAGTTAGAAGAAATCAGAAAGGTAACCTAACGTTATAATTAACTTGTTTCTCAAAAGTGAAAAAAAAAGAAAAGAATTCATTTTGAATTGCAATATTTTTTGTAAAAATATAATTATAGCTTTAAACTTTTGGAATTTGCATATAAATTGATTCCCGACAAAGATGTAACAAATTTTTTATAACTTAAACAGTTATTTAAAAATTAGGAAAATCAAAGCTCAGTAATAGCAATTTTTGTTCAATTTAAATTGAACAATTTTTGTTATATGAGTAGCATAATACTAAAAATAATGTTGGAATAATCCGTTTTAAATCAAATGAAATATTTTTAATACTCAAATGAGTTACTTTTTTACAAAACATTTTATTAGCTCATCCTATCAAAATAAAGACTAACTGTATTCAGTATCATCTGGCATATGGCTGCAACTGATCAAGGCCACTCATATCATATGTTTAAAATTTGCTACAATCAATCTACTTTCTCCTGTACATATATCTTCAAGTAGCCGTAAGAAATCTATCATAAAAATGTACTTGATTAGTGCAGATGTAATGGGCACCAAATTTGCTATAAAATATGTTGTACTTATTTAAGAGTATGTTTGGTACCTATTAAAACTGCACCAATTACCGTGATGCCAGCAGTGCCTATTACTAAGATTACGTATCGTTAGTGTCAATAATATTATGGTGATATTTTATGGTATCCCATAATGAATAAGTACCATTTCTCTTTTAATTTTGCCTTTTTGTACATAACTTATTATTTTACTTCAATTAGTAACATATTACCAAATCAATTGGTAATATATTACCAAAATTAATTATCAATGGAGTCAATAATAATATGGGTGTTTTCTTTATGTTTCTTCTGAACGAATTAGTTTCATTTCTCTCTTAATTTTGTGTTTCTGTTTAAAAAATGTTTTTTTAGTTCAATTACAATTGATTTTAAATTATTTAGTTTCATAAAAACATGTTTTAAAAACATAACTATGAACAAAATAAGCACATGGTTTCAGATAACCTTAACACTAAGCATACCAACACTTTTCAATACAATACAATACAACATGCAAAAACGGGTCTTTTGACCTGTTATGGTATGATTAGTGTTAAAAATATTTATCTGGTGACAGTCCGATTATGCTATCACAATCACGTTGATCATTCAGATAACCTGGTAACTTGTCAGAATGAATGAAAAATGATTAAGTAATACAGAATGCGCAATAAACTAAATTTTTTTTTTATTAAGGCTATAAGCTAGACAACATCACTGATGTTATCTTTAAATCTTTGGAAAAAAAACTGAATAGTTAATAGTTTATTTTTAAACAATGGCTTCTGCTTAGCCAATGCAAAAATTTCATTTTTTTTAATGCCTCTAAATTTAAAATAATTTTAAAAAATCAAAAATTGTGCTTTACAATTGTACTTATTTAACTTTACAATTACAATTGTACACATTTAACTTTAAGTTAAATATCATATTTTTAGAGCCTACGGCTTACTTGTATTCCAGGATACAGACACACACAAATTCTTTATTTTATTATATGTATGTATACATCTTACATACACGTAATGTGTGTTTATATATTCTATTTTTAATGCGACTAAATGACTTGTTATTAAAATCTTGCGTCAAAAACCTTAAAGTCTTGTTGAACTTTTCCTAAAATGCTTTGTCTGTTTTGTAATCAATGAGCAGCAAAATGTAGTTAATATGTTTCGTAGAAGGTCTGAAGCAGTCTGCTCAGGGCAGAAAGTTTTAAAAAGCTTTAAAAGATCTAAATTTCTTCTTATTTTAAAAATAATCTAGTAAGTAAATTATATAATAATTTATAATATGTAATATTTAATAATTTAAAAATAACCTAAACAATGTATTTTAAAAGACTTGTAATTTACAAAACTTTCTTTTTATCTTATAACCAATATTGAAAAAAATAAATTAATTAAAATACTTTTATGTAAATTTGTTCTAGGATTACACTAGTGGAAAGCTTTTAACTGGTTTTTTGAAAAAAGAACTCATTGGAATTTTACAGAAGTTGGTTGCAGATCATCAACAACGAAGAAAGGTTTTAGATGATGATACAGTTAGGAAATTTATGACTCCTAGGAAAATGAATTTTAATTTGTAATTATATCAAGATATGTAATTTAATTTATTGCAATGAAAGATCCACCTATACGTTTGCCAAGCACTATTTTTAATTTTAATAAAATTGCTTAAACCAACAAGAATTGTCTTCTATATTAAACTATTTAAAATAAACTATACACAAAATGTTGAGATTTTCTATAACTAATCTTTCTATATCAATCATGTACCTTATTACCTTTTATTTTATTGACAGTCTAAACTAATATGTATAGAAATATCATTTTGCATTCTTAATGTTATAATTCACATTTTTTTCCTTCAGATATATTAAGTTAAAAAATAAGTTTTTATTTATTTTATACATTTAAGGAGCATATATTTTATTTAATTCTAAATTTATTGATTCAATTTCAAATTTTTTTCAAAATAAGTAATGGAAATTTTAGCAACTGTATTACAAAGATCTCTATTATAAGTAAAGTTATTCATGTTTGCAAAATCAATTTTTTGTGTGAAAAGAAAAATGCTTCTGAATAGAATTTCACAATTTCTTCTAGTAAATCTAATGTTAATCAAATTATTCAAATTTTAGTGTCTATTTAACTTTTGGTATGTCTTATCTTAATTACATAACTGTACAGTTGGCAAAAATAGTAATTTAATTTTACCAGATTCTTTTTTACCTTCACATATTTTCACATACCAATAAAAGCCCTGAAAAAATATATTGATAATGCTCAGTACTGTTTAAAAACATTGTTATAAATTAAGCAAATTATTTGTCTAACTAAAACGGTTAAAATAATTGCATACTTATTACAAACTAATCACTAAAAAATAAAGTCATAGTTTTTTTTTTTTTTTTTTTTTTTTTTTTTTTTTTTTTTTTTTTTTTTTTTTNGATCAAATCTTTCTCCATTAATTATGTTCAGAAATAACATGATTAGGTTTTGAAATTATTTGTATTTAAATAAGCCCTAAAGTTACATAATTGAACTAAGTTTATTAAATAGCAAATTTCTTTACATACAGTTAATTGAAAGATACATTACCCTCTCATTTCTATGGATACAATCCAATATCAATGAAATCAGACTTAAAAATCATGACCTTAAGAATATTAATTATCCTGAATAAACTGTATATATTGTCGTAAATAATTATTATTTTTTTTTTAGAGGAGAAAAAAATCAGTTGATTAAAATAAAAATTTTTTTCCTAAATCAAGTGATTTAAATCATATTACCCTACATTATTGTAGATCTATATATTGTCTTAAGATTGATAGTAAATAAATTAAATTTCAAAAATTTTCATCAACCAGTTTTAAACATGTCTGTTTACATCTAAAGCTTATTTTATTGAGAGAAAAGGAAAAAAATTATTTTTTTTATATTTTGCTTATAAAATTATCTTTCATGACAATTTTACTTGGTTTACCCGTGCTATATTGGTGAGGAATGTTTCTTCACCAATAACCATAAAGAATTCTTCTTAGCTGCTCCCTTTACTACCTATACTACTATGACATTATCTCCACCTCTAATCAAACAAATATCGACAGAACTTGTTTTCGTTATCAGAATTTGGAAATAAAATTCTTTTTGTGCAACAGAAATGCAATTAAAATTCTTTGATGCTTTTATTAAATTTCATAACATTTTTGTTTAATTTTATTTAATATTAAAATAAATATTTATTTTTTCAGCAGTTAAGGTAGTTATTTTTTTAAAATATTTAAGAAAAAATTTGTCCTTTTTTTCTTCAAAAAGTTTTAGGAAACTATTAGCATACATAGGTGCACAACCTGTGGCCCGTGGGAGCTTCTGGACACAATTGAAATTTTTTTTAGAAAAATGTTGAAAAGTTTAAATCACACATTTGAGTCATCAGTTTTTAATGCATTCAATTGCACAGATTCTATTGTAAATCTATGTTGTTACTCGATTGCTTTTTCAATGGTTATTGCTACGAAATTTCACATGGTTTTAAAAGATCCAATATTTTTAATACGAAACAATACGCGAATTTCGAATTTGAATAGTTTTTGCCAATTTAATCGTAAATCCAAGTGACGTTTCGATCGTTTTTTGACATTTATAATTACCAATTTCCATGTGGTTTTTAAGATTCCGATACATTTATTACGATTTGAGCTATAAATCTCGCATCTAATTTATCACTTTTTGACTTTCTTTCTTTATACCCATTTCATCATAAGTCTAAATGAGTTTCTTTAAGGCAGTTATTGCTACTGTTTACCACGTGATTTTGAAAATCAAGTATTTTTGTTGCGATATTATTACACGCGAGTTTTAAATCACATTTAAATAATCACTTTTTAACTCGCTTTTGCCCATTTCATCATTTTATTTATATTTTGCCCATTGCATCATTTAATTTTATAAATTCCCGATACGATTATTACGACTCGTGAGTTTCGCATTTTATTGATCTCTTTACTTGCTTTATTTGTGCATATTTCATCTTTTTTCCAATGAAGTTATTAGTATGTTTTCCCACGTGATTTTAAAAATCCCATATTTTTGTTACGATACACAAATTTCAAATCGCCCATTTAAATAATCACTTTTTGACGTGATCTGTTTTTTTTTTCAATTTCATCATAAATCCAAGTAACGTTTGATCGTATTTTAGCATTTACAACTACTAACTTCCACTTGGTTTATAAATTCCCGATATATTGTGAGTTATAAATCACGTATCTAATTTATCACTTTTTGACGTACTTTATTATTTCATCTTTTTTCAAACGAAGGTAATTGGAACGGTTTTTCTCGTGATTTTTAAAAATCCCATATTTTTATTACGATGTTATTTACAACAAACAAACATCAGATGACCCATTTAGATTATCGTGCTGTTTTTTCAATTAGATCATAAATCTAAGTGACGTTTAGCTCGTTTTCTTGTATTTATGACTACTGATTTCCACGTGGTTAATAAATTCCCTTAACATCTATTATGACTCGTGAATTATAAATCGCGCATTTAATTTATCACTTTTCGCGGTAAATAATTTGTACTGGTTGTTTTGTAAAGGCAAGTTGTTTTTCAATCATTTTTTCGGCAGTTTCTGCAATACATTCTCACGTAGTTTTAAAAATTCCGATTATTATTACGACTTGGGAATTTTAAATTACGCATTTATATAATTAGTTATTAGAGCCCGTTATTCCTGCTAATTTCATTGTAAATTTTATAATTTTTTTGTTGCGATATGATTAATAGACAGGGTGTGAATTTTAAAGTGTGAGAAAGAGTGTTTCGTTTTGAATAATAAAATAAGAAAAGGAATAACACATAAAGATTAATTAAGGCTTTTTATGTTGCACACACACGCATATATATTGATGAATTATTATTGTGAAAAACTGAAAAAGTTTTTTAAAAAAAGGATCAGTTTTTTTATTTTTAAGTAGATTCAGATATTTAAAAGCAATTAATTTTTAGCAAATCTGTTAAGTTTACTGATAAAAAATTTAATGCTTAGAACACTAATGTTTATATAAAAAGTATCATATTTACCACTAACATGACTAAATAAACGTGCAGCCCGTAGTTAATCTACCACCTGTGCAAGTGACCCTTTACTCAGAAAGGTTGTGCACCCCTATATGTTGTATATTTGTTCATATATATCAGTATCCACTATATCCTCGTAAATTAGTATGTATAGTGGGATACAGCTATTTTTAGTAAGCGTTTATTATTTTAAATAATCTCATAAATTAAGGGATGTGAGTGCTATTGCCCAGAATATCCTATATTGATATTTTTTAAGATTAAGAGCCACTTCCTGGTATGCACAACACTGATGTTTTTTGAGGAAATGTACCTGCTCGATATACGCTTCCCCGGTTATTTTTTTTAAAGATAAAGTATACTTCTGGTGGTGTTACACTTTAGTGCCACTGTGTGTATACAACATTGATGTTTTTTAAGGTAATGTCTTATTGCCCTCAGTTTTCTCTATACTGATGTTTTTCTCTGTGTATCCTAATTGATCATTAATAATCATAAAAAGCGGGTTAAAGGGAAATTAGTGTTTCATAAAAAAAAGTCAATTTTATAGTGAAAAGATTGTTTTATATTTGACGACAACTCTAACATTTTATTGAAACAATTATTTAAAAAAAATTATAGTTATATACTTTTATAAGATCATAACAGAAAAAGAGATCAAGAGCAGAATCATCAAATCAAGAAACGGAGAACAAGAGCATAACCATGAAATCATCAAATAAACTGGAAAATATTTTTCAAACTAGTATTACATTTTATAGAAAATAATTATCTCCTTAAATAACATTGGAAAATTATTATCTGTTGAGCGCAGTTTTACGGTTAAATTACTATTACACGCGAACAGTAATTGATTAACTTTTACACGCGAGGAAATAACGCAAGTAAAAGATTAAGCTTAGCTGCCGATGGCGTTTACAAAGTCGCACCTTTTACATAACATAGTGGGCTGAAGACAATTTAACTCCCTAAGCCTTGCCGAAGATCTTGGCGACCATATTTATTCGGGTAATTTTAAGTAAAATATCCCTATCTTACTGCCTCAGGAAATAAAAACTGAAACTAAATACTCATATGAACAAGATAATGCATTAGTTAAATAAGGAAAAAAATAAAAGAAAAAGAAACGGTTAAGCCTCGGAGAAACTGTTTGAAAATAAAGATGCTACCATGCGTTGTGATTCTGCCATGTAATTAACTATTTTCTCTAAGCCCCTCCCTCTGAACAAGGGAGAAATAACTATAATAACCATTTAAAGAAAATGACTTCTGCTTTAATGTCTTCGGATCATCCTCAGGTATGTTTCCCAGACCGTCGTCAATAGCCCTTTGCGCAGCTGTAGTGCGACATAAATGAACTACAACAACAGCTTGCCAAACGGAGGATAAGAAGGCCGAATAAAGTAAACCTAAAATAATGATTGAACGATAACGATAAAAGTATTGTTAGTTCTAGCCAATCAGGTTTGTACATTTAATAAAGAAGTTAGTTTCCCGAGAAACCACATTTATTTGCTTACAGCTACTGGTGAGAAATTCTTAACTTCAACTTCAATTATTTTGACATGTTGACATAAATCAGAAGTAACAACAATTTTGTTTTTGCGTGTACACCTGTAGTTTTGAAATCAGAATAATAAAATTAAGCATGCTTCGGCGAAATGCGCGGAAGTTGATTAAGTATGTTTGTTTAGCAATTTTATTAGTTATTGGTAGTGGTTTGCTTTTTAAATCTTTCACCACGATTAATTCAATTGAAGCTGAGAATTCTTTTCGGAAAGGAAAATACTTGGGATTACCTGATGCTCCTGATAAGCACAAAATTGCACCGGTATTATTTATTTATTATTATTTTTGTATGCGAATTTTTTAGTTTATTAAAAATGTGTTTATGTTGTAGTTTTAAACGTTCTATGAAATATGCTTTTGGATGTTTTTTTTACAAGTAAAGTAATCGTAACGATCCTTATGATCGATAAAAAAAAATTAATCATCGTAAAATAAGCTCTGTTCTTATGTGGCTCTGATCTAATGCTTTTTTATATTTTTGAATATCTATTTTTTTTATTTAATGTGTATATAATTGTTTTAGATTGACGAAAAAATTGATTGGCACAATTACACCTTGATGAAATTAGAGAAAGAAAGAACAGGTCCAGGTGAACAAGGAGCTGCTTTTGATTTACCACCTGGCACTGATCAAGAAAAAGATAAACTGTATAAAGTAAATGGCTATAATGGTTTAGCAAGTGACTACATTGCTATAAATCGTTCTGTCAATGACATAAGGCATGAAGGGTAAGTTTGTTTTGTCTTATTCTGATTACGACATTAATAAATCTTATTTAGTTAAGTTTAACTTTTATTTATCAAGAGTGTTATGCTGTTAACTATGAGTAGGATCATTTAAAGTAATTAAGGTTGTTTTAAATTGGTATTTTTTATTCTAGTTTTACTTAAAAAAAATTTAGAAATTTGCTGAAATGGTAATTAGAGCTTTTAATGTTTCTTAATTAGGTCATTTGTTATGATATTTTCACAAAATAATCAGTAATTTTTCTTTCCTATAATTTTTCTGTTCCTTTGTGAGAAAATTTGCTTTTTTTAATGATTATCATTAAGTGAGGAATAAATTTGAAACCTTTTTTAATTCTATGTTTTTGATTGCGCAAAACATTTAGTCTCTGGAGACAAAATTTAAACTAAAATTTTTTATTATTTCTTATAGAATATTTTTTATTTCTAATAAAACATTTTTTGTATTATCTGTATAAAAATGTCTTTATTTCTAATCTTTGGGTGTCATTTTTCAATGCATTGCTGTTTTAAATGATTTGTCAATTTTAAAACTATTTTGATTTAGCCCCATTTTATTACACTTATAGAAATTTTTATTTAGACTATTCTTTGCTTGATTGCTTTGGTACATTATTTGCTTGTTAAGCATCACAATATGTTAATTTATATGAAATGATTCCAATCTCTTTGATGCCAGAAGTATGTTAAAAAATCTGGTTTGTTAGTTGATCAGATATATACAGTGGTGGCCAAAAGTGTGGACACTTTTTGATAGTTTCATGTTTTTCAACTTTGTGTGCTTGTAGAATATATTAATTTTCACTTAAATACAAATGTTTATATATCAAATTGAAGGTAATTTAATGTAGAATTTAATAATAAATACAGTATTACAATATCTATATTACAAAAAAAGTTATGCAACTAATAGTAAGATCTATCTTAGATTTGCATTTTTATAAAGTGATACTTACACAATCAATACTTAGTAGGATAACCCTTATTTTTTAAGATAGCTTCACAGCGTCTTTTCATCGAGTGAACGAGTG